GGCACATCATCATTACATTAGCCAAGATTAAAATGAAGGAGAGAATCCTAGAAGCAGCAAGAGATAAGGGGACAGTCACCTACAAAGGAGTTCCCATTAGACTGTCAGCAGATTTCTCAAAAGAGACCTTTCAGGCAGGAAGGGACTGGAAAGAAGTATTCCAAGTCATGAAATCCAAAGACCTACATCCAAGATTGATCTATCCAGCAAAGTTTTCATTTAGAATGGAAGGACAGATAAAGCACTTCTCAGATAAGGTCAAGTTTAAGGAGTTCATCATCACCAAGCCCTTATATATAAAGTGTTAAAGGGACTTATCTAAGAAAAAGAAGATAAAAAATATGAACAGTGAAAGGACAGCAAACTCACAGTTATTAACAACCACACCTAAAACAAAAGCAAACTGAACAGACAGCTAAATCAGGAGCAGGGCCACAGAAATGGAGATCACATGGAGGGTTAGCAACAGGGGAGTGGGGTGGCGGTAGAAGGTACAGAGAATAAGTAGCATAGACGGTGGGGAGAAAGTAGACAGGGGGAGGGCAAGAGTAGTGTGGGAAATGCAGAAGCTAAAGAACTTATGACACATGAACATGAACTAAAGTGGGGGAATGTGGGTGGAAGAGGGTGTGGAGGATGGTGGGGAATGAAGGGGGAGAATGGAACAACTGTAATGGCATAATCAATAAAATATATTATAAAAAATAAATGCTCAAAATCCTCCCCCAAAAAGTCCTCATCATGAGACAAAAATGTGTAACCATGTGTGTAATGCTTGTTAACTACATTTATTGTGGTGATCATTTTTCACAACCTATATAAATATTAAATCATTACTTTGTGTACCTGAAACTACTATAGTGTTACATGACAATTATTTCTCAATTTTCTTTTTTAATCTAAGTTTTCAAGCTAGCATTGCAATCCTTTTCCCTGTATTTCTGGGACTTTAATTATGCATATGTTGTAAGCTTGAAGGTGTCTCACAGGTTTCTGAGATTTTTCTGTTGACTTTTCTCCATTCTTTTTTCTCCCTGTTCCTAAGACTGGGTAATCTCAGTTGGTCATCTCCAAGTTCACTGTTTATTGTCTGCTCAAGTCTGCTGTTTAGCCCTCTACTTAAGTTTTCACTTCAGTTATACTTTCCAACTTTAAAATTTCTGTTTGGTTCTTATTTATAATTTCTACATCTCTGGGGTAGCTCAGTGGATTGAGCGTGGGCCTGCAAACCAGAGATCATGGTTCGATTCTCAGTCAAGGCACATGCCTGGGCTGCAGGCCAGTTCCTGGCAGGGGACGCATGAGAGGCAACCATACATCGACATTTCTCTCTCTCTCTCCTTCCCTTCCCCTCTAAAGATACATAAATAAAAATTAAAATTTTTTCTACATCTTTACTGAGATAGTGTTCTCATACTTTAGCTCTGTTTTCTTTCAGTTCCTTGAACATACTTAAAATAGCTCATTTAAAATCTTTATCTAGCAAGTTTGGGGACAGTTTCTATTGGCCACTTTTTTCCCTCTGTGTTTATGGACCACACAGGGATTTCTGTGCATAGCTCATCATTTTCTTGTGAAAATTGGACACTTTAAACAATATAAGGTAGCAACTCTGGAAATCAGATTCTCTCCACTTTCTAGGGTTTGGTGGTGTTTGTAAGTTTAATGACTTTTCTGAACTAATTCTTTAAAATCAGTATTCTTTGTTGTTCGTGGCCACTAAAGTCTCTGCCCAGTTGGCTTAGTGGTCAGCTAGTGATTGGACAAGGTTTCCTTAGATGCCTAGAACCAGCACTTCTCCTAGATTTTGCTGAGGGTGTCTGGGCACGTGGTGGGCCCCCATTCCTTCCACACAGCCAGGCAGTTGACAGCTCTGCCTTAGCCTTCGCTTCCTGCTAGCACAGGGCCTTCAGATTGGCTGGAGGTGAGGACTTCATGTATCTCAGGTCCTTCCTGAACATGCGCATAGCTCTGGACGTGCACGCAGCCTGACGCATGTGGATGGTTTTCTGTACTTCCGGGATATGCCGGAGCTTTTCAGTGCCCCCTTGGACGTCTCACTGCCTAGATTTCTCTTCCAATTTTTTTGGTTAGCCTATTGGTTGGGTCAGCTACCCACCGCCTCGGGCAGCCACGGTGTTCAACAATTGCCTCTGAATTGTTTTCTAACAAACACCCGCAAGGAAAATGTTCACACTGGCTGGGCTCCGAGTCAGATCATAGAAGGATGATCTTGTGAGTGGGGACCTCTGGACAGGCCAGATAATGACAGCTCCCTGGGGCTGGGGCTTTGGAATCGCTCCAACTCTGCTTGGCCCCGTCTTGAATAAATGCTCCTTGCATTGCCCCTGGTTAATTTTCAGAGTTTTGAAAAAGTTGATTCATACAACTGTTGCCAATGTTCTTGTTGCTTTTACAGAGGTGAAAATTTCTGGAAGTTCTGACTCTGCTATTTCGTTGATGTCCTCGCCTTTCTGCTTCTACTGTACAACTTAATACGGAGTTGACTTACATTGTTACGATAAACCGATATTATTATCACCGAACTGGGAATTCAGAAAATGTGCATCCTTCATCAGCAATTTGGCAGCTTTCCAATACTTCAAAATTATTCTGATAAGAGCGGTAGTCATATTAACAAGTGTGATTTTTAAAAATATTGTATAATAAAATGTATTAATATTTGGAAGATCTCATGAACCAAGTTTTTCCAAGTGGCCAATACGTGATGTTACAAAATCATGCATGAGTGCAAGCTGCCTGTAAAATGCAATATACACCAGTGGATTTTACATACAATGAGAAAAGCTCATTGGCGTGGTTTCGAATTCTGCACTGCAACTAATCTTTGAATAGTATCAGAGAAGGTTATTGGCAATCATATGGAAAGACTATTAAAATATTCTTTCTTTTTCTGACTACACATCTGTGTAAGGCCAGATTTTCCTCCGATACATCAACCAAAACTATGTATTACATCACATTGAATGCGGAAGCAGATACAACAATCCATCCATCTTCTATTGAGCCAGATAGTAAAGATATAAAAAAACGGCGAAGCAATGCCATGCTTATGAAATTTTATTGTTCTGGAACAATAGAGGTATTTTTCATAAAAATATGTTATTTATTTTAAGTTTATTTGTTATTTTAAATGAATAAATAAATGTTTTCCACTTCTCTCAGTTTTAATATGGTATATATTGATAGACATAACACCTATAAACAAACATTCTTTGGAGTCCTCAGTTAGTTTTGAGAGTGGAAAGGGGCCCTACTGCTAAAAAATTGGAGGATCTCTGGTTTAGATCACTCCGCGAGGTTCAAGTTCAGAAGCCATTACATTCCCTTTAGGTTGCGTGGAGCTCTTTTCCTTTAACATGGAAGGAACCTGGAGTATTCAGACAAGACTTTCACAGCAGGCTGGAGGAATGCCCCTGCTTCTCTCAGCCAAAGGGGAAGATACTAAGGAGGGAACTCAATTAATTGTTCAGGGAATTCCTTCCTGGCTCGTTTTGCATTCCTGTCAAATCACTGTGGACCTCGCACGTCACTCTGCCAGCATCTTGCAAAGATTTTAAACTCCAACTCTATTCACACGATTTCAGTAACTACCACGGAAGTCCCTTCTCTGGACTCCCTGGCTTTTCCAGTTTGTGTCAGAAAACTTGGCACAAAACTGACCTACGAGATTCTCTAAGGAAGTCATGTTATCTCCCCCAGTGGATTTTACATCATTTATGGCCAGACAGGATGTCTTGCACATCTCCTTGACCCTTCCTCAGCTCTTAACGCATCGGGCAATAGGACACAATTCGACACACATTTGTCTAACACTGAACCTCCTGGGTTAGATGTTTGTGTGCATTTTACACAGATCAGTCAGTAAACGTCTCAGCATCGCCTCTAAGTCAAAGCCAGACTCCCAGCTCCTGCCTTCTGAATGTGGTTGTTAAGTTCTGTGCTGGGCAATAGATAGATTGAGATCACAATGTTACAATTACCGTGATGTCAAACGAGATCAACAAGAGGGCAAATTACAAAACAAGTGTAACATGTTTTTATTGGGACTGCAGAGCCTGGGGGAGGATTCTAGTGGGAAAGGTCAGCAAAGCAGGTCAGGCTCAAGGCTCCAAGGGACTCATCAGTAGAGGGCGGGGCTGCAGGAGCACTGGCTTGAGCAGGGAGAGCAGGCTGGGCATGACCCAGGATTCAGTTCCTTCCCTGCTGGGCCAAAGCTGAACTCCCGGCTTGGCTTACGTAAATCAGGACAGCATGTGGAGTGGGGTTTCCAGCTACAGGGACCCACTGGCTGTGGTTTGAATTTAACGGTCATGTTAAGTTAAAGAGGAAATGGTACACTCTTCTTCAAACACATGAACCTGGTATATGGTCTTATCCTGACAGTCTCCTGGGGGAACCCGGCCTTCTTAGCATGGACTCAGAGAGTACTTGCTTGTGCTCTCCCACTCTCTGAGGCAGAATACTTCAGTTCCTGTACAAAGTCTCACTCTGGAAAATAATGCTTTTTCAAATTCCCATAACATAAACAGGGCTTAAAAATAAAAGAAGAATGGGCTGGGTTGGGAGTAAAAGACAGAAAACTGTACTTGAACAACAATAAAAAGAAATTAAATTTAAAAAAAGAAAAAAGATTTAAAGGCAAAAAAATAAATAAATAAAAGGAGGGAAGAGTCTATAATATAAAACATCCTCCCATGTCTCCAAGCAGTTCTCAGCATCATCGGCTTGGGGAGAGATTGTGGAAAGTCTTAAGGGGCAACTCTGAGCTTCCCAGGAAGCTCAGCAGAGCAGAGTGGGGACCGACGGAACTCAGAAGCCGGTGGCTTCTGACTGCAAAGCCCTTTCCAGGGAGACCCCAGATGTCCCTGCATGCGCAGTAAATGTCAAGTCTGTTTGCTGTGTGCGCCCTGATGTGAGAAATGTCAGCGTGCGTGTCCACACGTGGCAAACTCACCTCTCTGTTCTCTTCTTCCTAGCTGTACCCAAAATGACACTGCTGTTTACCAGATTTCTGCTAAAAACTGTTTTGGGATGATCTGCTGTTCTGCTTCCATTGAAGTCGAGTGCTCACCAGAGAACACACAACTTGTTCCCAGCCCGACAGAGGATGGGACCACAGGTTGGAACCCGGGCCCACAGACCTCTGGGCAGAAAAGCACAAATCAAGTGGAGGAGCAAGAACCTCCTTCTAAGGAAGAAGAGAGTCTCTGGCTGGGGACTCCCGTACCAGCTGATTCCTCCTCCTCCAAATTTAACCCTTTATGCTCATGCCAGTTACTGGCCAGCAGTGATATGAACTCATCCGGTTCTGAAAATCCCTTGCATGCTGAAGGAACAAGGCAAAGGGAACAGGCTTGTGATGCGAATAGCACAGAGGCAATTGCGGATGGGTTGCTTTTTCCTAAGTCGAGTAATATTCCTGATAAACAAGATGTATATTGCCACGGGACGGTGCAGTCCAAATTATCAAAGTTAACGGATGGTGCATTAAACGACGATGAAGACTTGCACTCCAGTCCTCAAAGTCCCAAAGCACAGAAGTACATCAGTGTCAGCCTACCACTCTCGGAGGCAGCCACATCCACCTACCCAGGTGACAGGGCCCCTGTCAATGAACAAATCAGTTCACAGGTTTCCAGCGACGACTCTGACAGTGACTATGAACTTTGCCCAGAGATAACCCTAACCTACACTGAGGAGTTTTCAGATGATGACCTGGAGTATCTGGAATGTTCCGATGTTATGACGGACTACTCTAATGCAGTTTGGCAAAGGAACCTGGAGGGGACTGAGCATGTTTTTTTATTAGAAAGCGATGACGAAGAGATGGAATTCAGCAAGTATGGACTAGGGGAGCATGAGTCTTTGCTTAGTGAAATGGGTCGTGGGCCTCGGGTGTCATATGACACTGGACCGATGGAGGCCCGTGCTGGCTTCTCTGGTGATCACTCACAATCCCAAGAAGTGACGGTAAGGCGTCGCCGAGCCTCCACCCACGGTCCCCCATGCCCACAAACAGGGATGACTCTGACTTTGGGATCTCACCAGGATGGGACGTCTGCGGTGACTGACCAGGGGAGATATAAACGACCCACTGCTTCTGATGAAAATGATTATCCAGGAATTCAGGGAGAAACCAGAGACAGCCACCCAGCAGGCAAGGAATTTGCCAGTGACAAGCCACTAACTGTGGATAAAGCAGTGGCAGAGAGAGAGGGGAAGTGCTGGTCTGGTGAGTTAGAAACGTCGGGGATGAACCAGTGTTTGGAGATGGTGGCAGAGGAGAGACTAGGGGAAAGGGGCTCCTGGAGCAAGGGCTGCTCAGAGAAACCGGGCAGGACGAGGCGGCCGGGAATGAAGGGAAAACCCAAGAAGCTGACGCCCGACCTGAAAGACAGTGCCACAGACGACACCCTTCACCGTCCCCAACCCCCAGAGCCTTCTGGGCACCCGCTGACACAGGGCGAGAGGAAGGAGAGTTCTGGAGCCGCAGCAGAAGCTCCTAGTTTGAATTCCCAGTTCTGTCCAGAAGCGGCTATTCTAACCCACGCAGATGGAGAGGCAAAAATGCTGCAAACCCCACCAGGCACACTCCCCCCGCAAGGGGGCTCAGACTTGGAGGGAGAAAGGGTGCAGGTGGATAACCTCTGTGAAACGAGCCGGGCTCCAGATCAGAGTGCTCATCCTCAGGTAAGATTTCTCTTTTGAAAAATTACAAGGTAAAAGGTATTTGTGTGTGTGTCTGCCCTCACTTCCCGTTCCTGACTGCGGGACCACAGGACCGCCAGGGCCCTTGTAAATGACAGCTGCTGCTGCTAGGAAGGAAATCTGGTTTTGAAAGAAGGCCCAGATAAACCCTAAGCCGTCCTAATTATAGCAGAAGACAGATAGAAGTAAGAGGCACTAATGGGATTCTGGACAGCTGGAAAAAGGAACCCGATAGCCTGCCCGCTGCGTGTGTTTTATCGGGCAGCGCCACTCTGCAAAAGGGTTTTCAAACAAATGTTTTGGGGCTAGTCCTTAAAGCAAAAGCAAAACATTCTTTTTAGTCATTTGGGGGGGGCACTTTGAAAATGGTAAGTGTTGGCTTTAATCCGAATCCATAGTATGAATGGAAGGTTTCCGTGTGTCTGAAGGACTTGTGAAATTCAGCTGGTGATGCTGGAGAGAGGAGATGGCAGGCTTTGTCGTGCTGGGGCGATGTTTTGATCAGATGTGTGCTTTGTTCTGTTTTGCTTAGACCACAAAGTATAAAAGAGTCTAAGAAAAAACTGCTGGGGACTGTATTTGTTTTTTTTCCTGGCACTGATTTGGGGGGTATATTTTAAAGAGATGGAATTAAATTCCTGGGGCTAATTAATGCACAAATGATGTGTTTGGTAGGTATATGAACTTATTGTACTTTTAATTTTAGAGGGTTCCAATGGGCTTTGACTTGGGGCTGTGTATTGCCGAGATTCTATTTTGTAAATAAATACACAAGACAAGTTATTTATCAATTATTTTTACTATATCTTGTGTTCGCCCTTCTTCCAACTTTGTAGTAGAACCCAGTACTGTTTTTATAGAAGACTAGACATACTCCCGAGAAGATAAAATATTCCCAAATGCAAACTTTAAATTAAACTCTCCGTGAAAAAGTCAAAATGTAATATATTGATTTCTAATGGTCCCATCATAAAATAGCCAATCTAAAAATCTCCAGGGCTGAGGCGGCTTTTTACTGAGCAAACTGTTCTGCCCCACTGGCCAGACTAACATATAAAAGCCCCACTTACACGTTCTGCACGAGAGCCAGGTCTGTCCTTTGTGGCTGTTGAACACACGCCACTTTGCTGAGTGCGTGCCAATGACCCCAGAGCCTAAGATAAGTGTGTGGAGGTGGTCGGGTCAGATACTAATGCAAAATTCAGTTACGGTATTAATTTTTGCCTGTCAATAAATACAGCATTTCCTTTTCTATTCATAAAGTGCTCTTCCTAACTCAGCAAAGTGCCTTTTTTCAGTTGTTCCCCATACTGAGCTTTCCACTGGGCAAGTTAATTATTAGAGGTTGGGGGGAGTGGAAAGTAGTGAAGAAGGAGAGGGCTGTGGACAGCATTAGCGTTAGACCCCCCACTCTGTCATCCTCAACTTGTACCCTGAGCTGAATTTTGAGAGTGAGCGTCTGGTGACCAGCAGCTCCCTTGTTTACTGGCAATGCAGCTAAATCCAATGGGCCATCTCTGGGACCAAAGCCCCCCGTCCTGTGCACATTCTTGTCTCTATTGAAGTTCTTATGGGACCCTTGCTCACACACTCACACATTCAGGAACGCACACCAGCTCACCAGCAATTCACTCCATGTCCAGAGTGTCTGGTGGCATGACTGTTATCTCAGAACCATGAACACGACTTCTTAGGAAGCCTGCATTCTGCAGGTAGTAGGGCCCTTTCTCACTTTGCCGTACCTGGTCGCAGAGCTGACTTGACCTCTTACTCAAGGGATGACCAGAAATGTGAATGAAAGTTGTGCTCATTAAAAGACAGTTCTGTGCAGCTTGAAGTTACAGACACATCTCTGTATCTGTGGTATTTATTTCCCCGTGACTAAAGCAAGAACATTTTGCCAGGGGGAGAGTGAGGACAGATTCTTTGACCCGTGCAAAAACTTACTATTGAATTGCAGGACATGTCTGTGTTTCTTAACACACATATGCAGTGAGCCAAATCTACAGTGAATGGCTAAATATCCTTGCAAAAGTGGCATAAAAGGCGTTGCAAGGAGGGGGTGGGGAGTTACTGAGAATGCCGCTCATTCTTGCTGCTCTATTATAAATGCCGCTCTATTATAAATCAAACGCTTTATAATACTGTTTGAGAAAACAACAATTAGTGAATCTTTTCATAACTCAGTCAAAAGGCATTTTAAATATTTGTTCTCAGACTTTGGAGGTTTGTGGGAACTTAAAATCTTGCAATGATTAAAAATCCCTGGTTGGGGTCATGTTTAGTAAACTTGCCCGCTCCTGACTCCTGCCTCATTCACTTACCTTCAGGTGTCTTTTGTGGAGACAGTGACCCGCAGCTTATCTTTTGGTATTTTCTCTTCGTCTGCATATTGCTTTCGCATTCTGGAGAAAACTCCTCATTTCTAAGGCTGCATTATAAGCACCAGGCTACACGGTAGAATATCTCCTGCCTGTGCATACGTCTCCAGCTGCACTTACTTACTATTTTCCTCCCCTGCTTTTCCAATGCAAGGCCATTCTTGTTCAGATTTATCTTGAAATAGTACTTACTCAGACTAGGATTGGAGAGCCCCCAATTCTTGTACATTTATGGAAGATACCAAAGTTAATCCCAGTTTGGGAGTGGAAAACAGAGAGGGTACCCAAGGTTAACTTGAATCATCTTCAAGGATACACAGCCAATCCTTCACCTTGGTTTTGATCTCCCTTTTCTGATCCAACTCAGAGGCAGGACCCGAGAAGCTGCCCATCTTAAGTTTCCCTGTAGCCACACTGGGGTAAGATCATCCCCTCTCTTAGGTCAGAAGTGCCGCGCCTGTCCTTCAGCATAGCTGCCCTGCCCCGCCCCGGAGAGACTTTTGCTTCTCTCTGGGGTCATGAGGTCTCAAGTATACAGTATGGAAATGTCTTCTTAGGTTCTGATGGTTAAGAACCTTTCTGATCAGAAATAAGCACTAAGCAGAGAAGGGGCGCTCCATGGTGGCAGGGAGTTTGGCCACTATGTTTTGGTCACTGATATGTCCCAAGTCCTTGGAGTAGTGCTGTCTGCATGACAGACACTTAATAATTGAGTAAGTAGCCATATGGACCTAGATTAAATTCCAGATACAGTCAGGTATGAGCCTGTGATGTTGGGTCCCAACCGCTTCGTGGCTTCCACTGGCATAAGTGGACTCTGTGGTTCCCCTCACCTACCAGCCTGCCACCAGGAAAATGCTTTCTCTTGGTCCCAGGAATGAGTTGGTTTGTGTTAGAGTGTCCCAAAGCTGGTACTTGGGTTCCCTTGTGAATGTTGGTGATTCACATACAACCTTGGACTTGTCAGTGAGCATGCTAATGTAGATCTGAGCCTGTTTCCTGAGCATTGAAGACCTTCCACAGTATTGCTTCCATCTATCTCCGAGAGGCAAAGCAGGCATTCCCATTGGCTTCCTTACCTAGAAAACAGCATTTTCTCAGACTGGTGGCGTGTCTTCCACCTGCTTGTTCCAAACGCTCTCACTGGGCTTGTTGCTGGCTCAGCCCTTCCGGTCCTTCAAGGCCTAGGTCCCGTGGGGGCCGTCCTTCAGGTTGCACCTCCCTTGAAGTGCTTTCCTCATCTCTACCTCTGATTTCTCTTTCCAGCATTCCTGGCCACGTTCTTTGGATAGTGTAGTGAGCTCCAGATGGGAGTTGGGTTCCTTTCCTGCTGCTTTCTGACTCTGTGACCCTGGGAAACGATACTTGAGCTCTCTCAATGAGAGAGCTCCCTCATAGAAAACAGAAGTAATAATACTAAATAATAATGCCTCATAGAGTGTTGTGGGGACTGAAGTCTTGCATAGAAAATGTTCAGCAGAGTCCCTATTATGCAGTTAATGTTTAGTAAGTATTAACCTCTTTGTTTATTTACCTTCTCAATACATGTGTTCTTGCTCCCTGTATTAAAGACATATTGAGGGCTGGCTACAAGTGGCTTTATATCTTTTTTGATCGAAATGTTTAGGAGATAATGGCGCACATAAGAAATAATCCAGAGAGCTCACTGTACACTTTGCCCAGGTTCCCCTGGATGGTAACATTGTGCCAAGCCGTGGTATAGCTCCAAGATACTGCCAATGGTGGCATCTGCTGATCTTATTCAGATTCCCCTGGATTCAATTGTACTGGTGTGCACGTGCAATAAATGTGTGCAAACACATCACCAGTGTATCTCTGGTGATAACTGCGGTACGAAACTTCAGTTTATTCCAAGTTCAGCCTAGGCGCTAGTCAGGCAGCACAAGAACAGAGACACAGCAGCCTAAAAATTTGCATGGCCACATACCCAGGGACAGGCAGGGCACAGAGTAGGTCTCCAGCAAAAATTTTTTTAAACATAGAAAAATATAAGCAGATAATATAAACCTCCTTGCAATAGCGTTTTCATATCTGGGACAGCACAGCCTGAGATCTTGGGTTCATTTGCATAATAATATGTGTTTCCCTCCCACATCCCCCAAATTACAACTGTTAAAACTGGCACCAGGAGGCAGATAAGCCAGCTCTCTACCGACCACGGGAAGGGCAGAGTTTATAAGCCCTCATCTCTCAGCACCTGGCAGTTGCATCTCCCATCAGCTCGGCTCCATGGCTGACCCAGGGAGTAGTACAAACATCTGTTTTGTTTTTAATCACAAAGCCCAAGCGCCACTCCTGCCAAATGCCGTTCCTGCCCTGGGCCCGTAAGATCACTGACTGTCCTGGTTCGCTGCGGTATTATACTCAGTTTGTGTTCTATAATCAGGGGACAGTCATTAATTAGCTCCAGTCTTCCTGCTCACAGTGTCATCTGCAGAGCAGCTTGTCAAAATGCAGACTCCCAGGCCCCACCTCAGTCCTGCCGAGTCAGAATCTGCATTTGAACCAGATTCCTTGTTCGGTGAGGATGCACACTGAAGTTTCAGAAGCCCTGGTCTAGAGACGAGCTCTTTCTCAGGT